TATAGAAAATCAATCTTATTGTAAATTATTCATTTGTCGTATGTTCCCTCACCGTGTAATGACCTTGAAAACTTTGCTTCGAACTGAACAAAATATTTAAATAGAATCCTGAACTTGCTGCTCCTTGTTTGAGCTCCTCATTTTTCATGCGCTCTATCAACATGTTATGAACTCAAAATCTTTGCTTTCAGCTAAAAATAATATTGGGATACAATCTTGTTGAGAATTGTTTCAATTGCTCCTTTGCCAGCTGCTCATTCACCTTGCAATGAACGCAAACTCTTAGTTTCGACCTGAAAGAAATATTTGAATACAATCTTGAGACTGATGCTTGTTGGAGCTGCTCACTTGTGGTGTGTTCCTCTAGCATGTAATGAAATAGAAATCTTTGCTTCGACCTGAATACAATATAGAAAATCAATCTTATTGTAAATTATTCATTTGTCGTATGTTCCGTCACCGTGTAATGACCTTCAAACCTTTGCTTCAAACTGAACAAAGTATTTGAATAAAATCGTAATATGAACTATTGATTTGTTGTGTGTTTCTCCACCATATCATGAACTCCAAATCTTTCCTTCGAAATGAAGAAGATATTTGAGTAGAAACTTACTATGAACGACTCATTTCTTGTGTGTTTCTCTACGATATAATGAACTCCAAATCTTTCCTTTGAACTGTGGAAAGTATTTGAAATGAATGTTTGTTTGAGCTGCTCATTTCTCAAGCGTTACTCGACGAAGTAATGAACTGCAAATCTTGCTTCGAACTAAAAGAAATATTTGAATAGAATCTTTATATGAAATCTTCATTTGTGACGTGTTTCTTTACCAACTAATTGACTCGAAATCTTTGTTTCGAAGTATGAAAAATATTTGAAATGAATCTTTGTTTGAGCTGCTTATTCGTAGTGTGTTCCTCCAACATGTAATGAAATAGAAATCTTTGCTTCGACCTGAACAAAATACTTGAATGGAATCTTGTTGTTCGTATGAACTACTCATTTCTTGTGTGTTTCTCCACGATATAATGAACTCCAAATCTTTCCTTCGAACTGTGGAAAGTATTTGAAATGAATGTTTGTTTGAGCTGCTCATTTCTCAAGCGTTACTCGACGAAGTAATAAACTCGAAACCTTTGCTTCAGAATGAAGAAAATATTTGAATAGAATCTTGTTACTGATATGAATTAGTCATTTGTTGTGTATTCCTCCACCATGTAGGGACTTCGAAACCTTCCCTTTGAACTTAAAAAAATATTTGAATAGAATTTTGCTATGAACTACTCATTTCTTGTTTGTTCCTCCATCATGTAACGAAATCGAAATGTATGGATCGAACTAAACAAAATATTTGAATAGAAGCGTGATATGAATTATTGGTTTGTTGTGTGTTCCTTCACTATGTAGTCAATCCGAAATCTTTGCTTTGAACTGAACAAAATGTTGGAATAGAATTTTCCTATGAATTACTCAATTCTTGTGTGTTGTTCCACCATGTAATGAACTCCAAATCTTTGCTTCGAAATGAACAAAATGTTGGAATAGAGTTTTCGTATGAATTACTCATTTCTTGTATGTTCTTCTATCATACAATGCACTGCAAATTTTTGGCTTCTAATGAGCAAAATATTTGAATAGAATCGTGTTATAAATTATTCATTTCTTGCGTATTTCTCGACGATCTAATGAACTAAAATTCTTTGCTTCGAATGTGGGATATATTTGAAATGAATGATTGTTTGAGGTGCCCATTTCTGAAGTGTTCATACACCATGTAATAAACTTGAAATCTTTGCTTGTGACTGAACAAAATATTCCGATCGGATCTCAGGAGTCTTATAAATTATACATTTGCCGTATGTTGTTTCACGTGATCATAAACCTTGAGTCATTTTTTGAGCTCGAACAAAATATTTGAAAGGGTTTTTGCTATGAATTTATCCATTTCCCGTGTATTCCTGGGTCATATAGCGAACTCCAAATGTGTGCTTCGAACTGAACAAAATATTTGAATAGAATCTTGATATGGATTATTCATTTGTCATGGGTTTGTTTTTTGTATTTGGATGTCCGTATATCACTACCTCAAGATGAGAAGAATATTTGAATAGAATAATCAAAAATAATAGACCAGGTATGTACTGTACAAATGTTGTTGCTGATATCTTTTTTCAGTAATGATACATTCTTTTTCGAGATTTGTATTTTGAATTAATTTTTTACTGAATGAATTTACTATTTTTGCTTTGTAGGACAAGTGATAGCAATATTAGAAACATACATAATAAGTCAAACATCGCTATCAACCATCAGGAACGTAAGAAAACATTATAAATTAGCTAGCTATTTTTTTCTTATCTTCTTTTAATTTTTGCTTTCTTATTATATATTCTCGCGCATTTTTTCTATTTATTTTTTGCTTTTTTATCAATTATTCTCGCGTATTTTCTTGTTTTGTTTTTTTTTGTTTTTTTATAGTTTTGCATTTCAATAAAGATAAAATCAGAAAATATACTCTTCTTTTCTTCTTGAAAACAAAAATAAATATTTACAATAAGCATGAGTAATGTCTTACTATTCGTCTAAGCTCAAAAACATATATTCAATTTATTATAGGTTTTGTTAAATGTGAGGGCGTAAGGTTCTACAAAACAACTGATAGACACTATCAAATAAAATCTTAATTCAAATTTATATTAAGCTTTCTACTTAAAAGAGCAACAGTTTTCATAAAATTGACTCATTCAAACTATTTTTTCATTAATTATCAAAAGTCAATATCTCTTTTTAAAAGTTTATCTTACAGTGTACAACTAGAAACATATTCTTTTCTTTATTTCACAAGACAAATTTCGAGATTCCAATATTTTCCGTTGGCGTTAGTAGAGTCTTCAGCTATATTTTTTGAATAAACAGTAACAAAAACAAGCATTTTTTCTTTCACTTAATATACTGCATCATCATTCGGTTATAATCTCCTTCTATCGCTTTCAATCGCACATGTTTTCATTTTCGAAGGACGTCCACCGTTGTGAACTACTAATGAAAGCAATCAAGCATGGCTTAATGTATACATTTCTTACTCTAGGTTACATGTGTTCAAACGAAATAGAAGAAAGAAGGAAAGAAAAAAAGAAAGAAGCTTCATAGTTTTATAAAAAGAAAAAAAGATACAAAAGCTATCAATATCAAATTTCTCAATCTGCTTCTAAAAACTTTAAAATTATATTTTATTACTTTTTGATAACAATTTAATTAAAAAAATTTTTTATTTAGGTAGTCGAAAAAAAACTATTTGTATTTGTTGGCTATCATTTTCTTTATTATATTGTTGAATAAATCTTGATGATAAACCATTAATTGGAATAAGTATTATTAAGAAAAACTTTTATTATTGATAATCTCTTATTAAATATTATATGAACAATTTAATCATATTCTACAAATATATCTATCATTATTAATAGATAAACAATTAAATTTAACATTAAAAACACGATTGCTTGATACAGATGAAGGTATATCAGAAGATCTATGCCGTATATTACATACATTTACAGCAGATTGTTTTTCATTAAAAAGTATAGAACTTCATAAAAGGTACACAAGAATAAAATGAAATTCTCATATTAATTTGTCGTTATGTTATTAAATGAAATTTACTTGGTTATTTTTATTCAATATTTTTTGGAGAAAATCCATCGTTTAAATGCATTAGAAAAAGTTATATCAAAAACTTTAACATCACTGTCAAAAGTACGTTAATAGAATTTTATAATAAATATATACATATTATTATTTGTTATTGATCAACTTGATATCAAAATTGGTTCGACGATGGATAGAAAAGAATTAACTAAATATGTTATAACACTTGCTCGAGCACAATTTATTGATGGGAAAATAATTAAATCAATGAAAATGATTTTAAAAACTATAAGAATAATAGAAAATTATAAAGCTTTTATTTTTTATGTAAATATATTAAAGATATAGTAAAAATCTTTTAAAATGTGAATACAAGTTAAGAGAAGATGCACACACACCCACACCCACACCCACACCCACACCCACACCCACACCACACCCACACCCTTAAAAAGAATAATAAGTATTAATATTATTTATAAATTACACTTACTGGATTGAGTGCATTTAAATATTGACCTATTTTTCTAGGAAAATGTTCAAATGATTCGACGTCATGTAATTTTTCCCATCCTAAACAAAACGAAGCATTCTAATCACACAAATTCACGATCCATCTTACCTATCCAACGTCGAAATTTATGAAGCATAAACGAAGATATTTCAAAGTACTAAAAAAACAACAAAAACCAAGTAAACAAGTTAGAATATCAGTGATATATGTTGCTACTTTTTTAAAACAAATGTCAACATCAATATAAGACGGAAAACGATAAAAATATAAAGATTTCATTTTATTTATAATTTTTATTTCTATTATCATATAATATATTATAAATATAAAAACTTAAAGCAAAAGATATATATCTCATAACAGTGATTCTGTATCTTTTCTTTCTCCCCATTTTCTATCAGTCTAAACGAATGAATTTTTTTCGATACAACAGTGTACACTTTTATTTTCAAGATTCTAGAAACAAATTAAATAAGTCTACAAGGAGCATTTATTTAATATCATTGAATGTAATATATTTTCATGTGGAACACGTAATTGAAATGCTAATGTGGCAACGACAGGAATTAGAAGGCCAATAGCATTAAAAAACGCTCCCCAGAAAGAAGTAACTTTTTGTTGAACTACTAAAGTTCCAGCAAATGTACCAAAATTATTGGCAACAGCTGCCAATAAAGCTAGATATGCAGAATATCTTGTATATGAGGAGAATAGTTGATGGCGAAGCATCATACCATTTGGTCCACAATAAAGATAATGCCATTGAAGTAATGTTGAAAGTGAAAACATAGCCGTCAGTGTAACTGTAAAAACTACAGCTGCTGATGAAGGTGTAACAGTAACTTCTTGTAATTTTGGATGAACAGATTTAAAAGGAAATTTAATAAATACTTCCCAGAGTTTGTATGGTTTATGTTTTAATCCTACTTGATGAGGTCGTTTTGGTGGTTTAAAATATTCTAAATCAAGTTGTGTAGCATAATAAGGATTTGTTTTATTCGTATAAATATGTTGTATAGAATCGTTCCAAGCTAATATACATGTAAGAAAACTATAGAATGCACATAGATATCCAAAAGGAGCAAACCATGGTTCTGCACCAAAATACCATACTAATGACCAGCCAACAAATGATAAACCTAAAGTAACTCCAACACCAAATGCTCGTATTGTTGGAATATCAAAACTTGGTATTCGTTGTGGTATAAGAAGAGCACCAAATATACAATTAAAAACAATACATAATACTGCCATACCATAAAGATAACCTGGAGGATGTTGATCTGTCCATGAATTATATATAATTAGACACATAGGTAATAGAAGAGAAAGAATACCAGATAAACGATGAATAATAGATGTAATTGCTTTCCAACTTCCAATACGAGTTAGAGGCAGTGACCAAGTCAATATAATCAAGTAAGGTGTTAGAGTAAGATAGAAGAATATAGTCCAAGATTCGATAAATGAAAATAGAGTAGTACATAATAAACATAAAATACTTAATCCTATTAACCATGAATTGAATGAACCAATTGTATGATATAATTTATGAAAAATACGTGTAAAAGATGAAAGTGTATTTGCTTTATCATTAGTCAAAAGTTTCATATCAATGAATTTTTTTATAGATTGATATGAACGCAATTCATTAAACTACTTATAAAGATAGATGTGTAATTTCATAAGTAGAAAATAAGTGAAAAATCATGAGTCACAAAGAAAGGCGATAAACATATTTGCCCTATTTGCCTGAATCTAAAGAATTTCATCATCAGCAGTCATTTCCGAGATTCGTCATATAGTGAGTCATTTTTATCACTGTATGAATCGGAGTTTTCTCTTTATGTGTAAATGTTTACTTTTATATCATTCATTGAACGCCGTATCAATTCCTTCTAATTTAAATTGTTGTTGAACAGTTGCATTTATTCAAGCCCATAAATACTTGTTAATTTCGCCCCAATGAAATTTAGAAATCTTTCACATTCAGTCTCACACTCACACCCTATTTAATGCACAATATTATTGTTAGATTTTAAATTGTTTGTGATTCGGCGACATCTAGTAAACTTTTCAAATGGTTGTTAAATTTTCACCTATCTACACGTGTCTATCAGTGATCAATTTTAAATACTCAACTAAATTTCAACAGTAAAACTATACGAAAAACATAATATCAGTATAATATGTAGTTGGCGCGATTAGTTTTTTTTCTCCTAAAAATGTTCGAGTATCATGATTTTCTAAAGTAGAACATGTGTGAACGATTACCATTATTTCTTATCGAAGCAAAATCAATTCTATTTGATCTTTTAAATCGTACTCTAGAACTGTTCGATCTATCTGATCATTTTCTTCAACATTATCATCTAACTAAATTTCTTTCTTTACGTGATGAACAACATCGTGATTATTGTCAATTCTCTCTAAAGAAACCATGTAAATTAAATTATAATATTATTTCTGATCTTAATACTTATCTTCATCGTTTAAATACAACATGTCGTTTAGCTAAAAGTAATTTACGTTCATTACATGCTGTTCGACTAACATCACCAAATGATTATATAGTTATTGATGATGAAATCTATGAATTACTTAAATTTTTTAAAACAAAATTAAACAATATTCAACCGATAGAAAAATCAATAAATATTCTCAATAGACGATATTATTCTCAACGTATAGTTCATAGTTCATCAACAACTAAATCATTTGTATTTCATCCAGAAATTTCAAATCAAAAGAATAATTCTGAACAATCGTCAAAAAATGAAGATCTAGAAGAATATCATCAAATACTAATATCATTTGAAAAAATCTTTCAATTTTATCAATTTTTAATTCAACATTTATATGGTGTTCATCTTGTTCGAGATTCACATATTCTTCAACCAATAGTAATCAGTATTATTCGATTACTTTTATCGATAACAGATAAATTGAAAGGAAAACTTGAAATTATTTCACCCACTAAAATTCACCGTAATCATTTTAATATTCAACAGCATGAAGAAATTTGTCATGAAGAGAAGAAGATTATTTCAAATTCTAACAGTAATAAAAATATTGAATATGTTCATAATGATAATCATTCAACAAATATAAAAGAAGATGGAGAAAGTATATTAGAATTCGATGAAGATGAATTCTATCGTCTAGCAAATCTTGAACGAGATGATTAACAATGCCGCTATTAATTGTATTTTGTTGTGTAAACTTCGCGTACCTGTAGCAAATATATAACAACTGTTTTTATTTTTAGATGTTATTTTTTATTTTTGTGATAATGATTAGTATTTCTTTCAACGATTGTCAAACAACCGTTGATAATAATACTTCAACTCAACAGCATGATTTTCAAGCTTGTATCCTTTTTTATCTAATAGCGGGAATTTTTCTTTTCTTTTCTTTTCTTATTTGTATAAAAAACATTTAGCATGTCAAATTCAAATAAACACGCTCATTTCGTACCATTTCTTGATCAAAATTATGAAGATATTCAACGTGAATGTTTATTAAACAAAAGTTTATTTATTGATACGAAATTTCCTCATGAACAAACATTTTCGATTGATGAACAAATCAAGAAGAATATTATTTGGCGACGTCCATATGAAGTAACTGATAAACCAAAATTTTTTATTCAAACACCTCATCGTCGTGATCCAGGACAAGGTGACTTATCTGACTGTTGGTTTGTTGTTGCTGTTGCAAATATAACACTTCATAAACAAATATTCGAACGTATTGTACCATTAAATCAAACATTTGATAAACAAAATGGTTATGTAGGTTTATTTCATTTTCATTTCTGGCAATTCGGTATATGGTATGATGTTGTTATTGATGATTATTTACCATTTAATAAAAAAACTATTCAACCATGGTGTTCATGGAATCGTCAAGAACCCAATGAATTTTGGGTTGCATTGATTGAAAAAGCTTATGCAAAATTAAATGGTGGTTACAGAAATTTAATTGGTGGTGCACCTATTGAAGCATTTACAGATTTAACAGCTGGTGTTGAACAACGTTTTAAATTAAATGAATCAATAAAAGAACGTCAACAATTTTTTAATTTTATTATTGATAGTTTAAAACATTCATGTCTTATTGCATGTTCAATTAATCCAGAAAATGATGGATCTAATTTAGAAGAAATTAAATCGAATGGTCTTGTTGTTGGTCATTCATATTCAATTACTGCTGCAAGATATTTACAATTTAAAAAACAATTATTATGTATGATACGTTTACGTAATCCATGGGCAAATGAAATTGAATGGGCTGGTGCTTGGCATGATAGAGATATGAGATGGAATCATCTTGATTTAGATGAAAAACGACGAATGTCATGGCAAGATTCCGAAGATGGAGAGGTAGAAGAAATTGCAACAATTTACATCATTATTTTGTTTTATTATTGCAGTTTTGGATGACATTTCAAGATTTTTTTTCTGAATTTGATATTCTTGAAATTTGTCATTTATCACCGGATACATTTGAAGAAGAACTTCAACTCAATACAAGTTCTCATCAATTATCATCATCATCTGTTATTAAAAATCATCGAACATCAATACGTATGTCAATACCAACATCTCTAGTTACAGATTATTTACCTCAACAACGTAAAATTTGGTCATGTTTATCATTTGAAGGACAATGGATAGAAAATATTTCAAGTGGTGGTCGTTGTATAACTACGTGTGAACATGGATGTAATTTTTGGAGCAATCCACAATATGAAATTGAAACAAGTACGGAAGATGAAACAATTAAATGTGCTATAGTTATATCACTTATGCAAAAATACAATCGATTTAAACCAACAGATAATCCTATTGATCGTTATGATTATATTCAAGTAATTCAAAAATTATTATTATTATTATAGAAAATTTTTATTTATCTCAGGCTAGGATTTATAAAATAAAAACAAACAATTCTACGCCATCTTCACGATCTCATGGACGTCGTTTAGAAAGAAAAATATATAAAAATGAAGATCTAGATTATGTGGGTTATACAGGTTCATATATCAATCGACGAGAAGTTACTTTATATTTACGTATACCATCTGGTAAATATCTTGTTATACCAAGTCTCTATGAAGTAAATCAATTATTATATTCTTTTGAATATTTATTGTATTTTTTTTTGAATAGCCTAATAAAAATGGTCATTTTCTTTTACGAATTTTTCTCGAAGCAAATTATTCAGTTAAACAATTATCAATTTTACCACCTTTACCATTGAATCTCAATGAGCAATTAACACGTTTTACTATTGCTACTCCAGTTAATTCATCACCAAATGCAATATCAACAAAAAATACTATTTTCAATTGTTTATGCCCATATGATTGTTTATCATC